TTTATCGATATTCAATACTGTAGCGCTATCTAGTGTAGGGAATTCACTATCATTATGCTCAAAAACAAGATTTTATTTTTATTTGCCTATTTTAATTCCACTCCCATAATATGATATTTATATTGTATATTAACGTGCTGTTTCTTATAGTTATAATGAAATAATGAATAATAATATAATATGATTGAATTAATTTAGCTAATCAATTGGAGATTTGAGAATAAAATGACGGATATAATATATAGTATGAAGACATTCATATATTCACATCATATGCAGTTTATGTATCTATTATATAGTTAGAGCTGATGTTTATTTGTTYTTATTTATTGAGGATCTAATTATGTATCTAAAAATAAAACTTAACAAAACATCGAACGTGTTAAAATGTATTTACTCCCTAAAAAATCTCTGGTCTAGTCTAAAGACTAAGACATTGCACAACATTATGTACTTAACAATATGTTGCAGTAAGTTATCATGATATGTGAAAGTACAGTATAAAAACTAAGAAATAGGTAGCTATATTGTATACCAATGCGGGCATTTGGCATATTGTGTATATGTGCATAATAAAAATAAAAAAATACCAATAAATAATAATTCTAACGATTTAAACGATTGACAAATTAATAATTACAATAACAACAATTCGGCAGTTAATAAATAATTATGTTATTAATTAGTATAGTGTATTTTGAAAAAACAACTCACCGCAAAGGTATTGAAGTCCTCAAAGAAGTAATGAGTGACATGACCGTCAGTCGTCGTCGGAGACTTTTATAGCGGACCATAGATCATATTATTATGACCTAAGGGGCGGACGATAAAAATCCTAAATTACGGTTCATTATTAATATTATTATTATTATTAATAAGTCATGATGACGTATCGTATAGCAATAATATAAAAATAAAACAACCATCTCAAAAATCTTTGTTATTATCGGCGTTATAGATAACAGATAATAATAATACGACAATCTGTTGCCCGATCCAACTATATTCTGGCTACTGCGGAACACAAAATGCGATATTGCTCGAGGAAAAAAAATCTGAAATATCATAAATTCATAATAATATAATAATCTCGTCGAGCGGGCTACACTTGCAATTTTTAATTTTTTTTTTTTCAAACAAAGCGATCGATTAATAAAAAAAATTATTATATAATAAATTATACGCGACGTCACGATGAAAATATCGTGCGATCTTCATAATAACTATACAGTACCCCGAGCACTGTATCGAGAGGAGATGAACATCGAGTGCAGCCGGAATGAAGATTTACCTTTGAGCTAAAATGATAGTGGGTATAGSGGAGGAAGTAAGGGTACACCAGAAACGATAACGTCGTATTGTATTGGGTGCGCGCACATAAAATTCACCTATAAAAAAAAGTTAAGCCCGACTTCTTCAGAGGGGGGGGGTGGTTACACCTTTAATAACCATATCCATATGTAATAATTGTAATAACATAGGTACAATATAATATAGGCACGAAGACCATACTGCGAAGTACTAAATTATTATTATTGTTATGTATTATTAATATAACGTATATAAAATATTATATTATACTATTATAGRTATATACTTGGTACTYGCGACATTAATTGGTAATTTTGGCGCAATAAGCCAATAACATTATAATATTATATACGACTTGTATTATACATTCATAAATTTAATATAAATATAAATATTCATACATTCATTATAATACGTCCGGAGTCGTTACAAGACCAATTGTTGGGCTATATACGACGCGTTTAACGATTCATWCATAATGCTCTCTTAATATTATATTATTTTATATTTGTATTTATCATATTATCGGGATAAACGTGCGTGAGATTTATACGATATGCACTGCAGTTGAAAATTATCTTCTGGCAGAGATGGTAGGTAGACGACTTTGATAAATATTATATCGGAAACATTTATATTTGCATTTACATGCCTATAGGATATATGTAAGTATTACATTTACAAAGCCATAACATTAATTTTTAATAGATAAATTAAATTATACTAAACAAACATTTTTAATAAAATTTAGGGCAGATAAAATGCTAGGATTGTGAATACAAATCGTTGGGTTGTCGTGAAATGTGTGCAGTGGAGAAAGTCATTAAATATAGGAATGGAGAAAGAAGAATAYACTTAGTGATAGTATTATACTAGTATAAATAATATTTTTTTAAATTTTTTTATTAAAGAAATAAACCTCGGCAACTCGGCCATTGGTATAAGAATTTTTTTTTTTTTTGAAAGGTGTTACACATAATAATAAAWGAATAGTTTAATAACAATAACAATAAAATATGCTTAAATTATATGAGAATGATAAGAATAATAAGGTTGTGTTTTATTATTTTTAAATGATTAAATAAGTTTGTCCAGTCCTGTCTCCTGGAGAAACAC